CAAAATGTACCAATAAAATTTGTTTTGTAAGAAAAGGGTGCAATACTGGGATTAAGGATGTAGATAATGGGGGCTGGGGATTTAGCTCAGCAGCACAGCGCCTATGTGGCAAACACAAGGTCCTGAGTTCAATTCCTGGTACCAAAAAAAAAAAAAAAAAAAAAAGGATGTAGATAATGGAAGCCACACCTTGGGTATGGGCAGCACCAATCAATAGGTTTGAAGCCTGGACAGAATATAAAGGGGCAGAGGCAAGGGCAGATTGCTGCTCTGCTGCTTGTTGCCTTCTGACTGTTTGTCTTCTGTGGTGGCCCTCTACCATGTGCCACCCTGCCTTGGAGCCAGCTGACTATGGACTGAAACCTCTACAAACTATGAGCTAAGTAAACCTTTCCTTCTTTAACTTTGGGTGCCGGGTATTTTGTCTCAGCAATGAGAAAAGTAACTAAGACACCAACTATCAGAAGTCACCTAGACCAGGGTACCAAACTCACACTGGTCTGTAGCCTGTTAGGGCCACACAGCAGCGGGCAAGTGGTGAGCAAGTGAAGGACGCCTCGTTCGTCTTCTGAGCTGCTCCCCATGGCTCCAATTACTGTCTGAGCTCTGCCTTCTGTCAGATCAGCTTCAGCATCAGATTCTCACGGGAGCACAAACCCTCCTATGAACCGCACGTGGAAGAGATCAGGTTTCTTGTTCCCCTGGATCATCCCAAGCCCCATCTCATGCCCATCACTGTTGGCACCAGGGACAAAGTGGTTGGGTGCCAGCGCTCCAGACTGTACTGTAGTGTGTTGGCTCCCAGGAAAAGAAGAATGACTGACAAAATTCCAAAACCTAATTTTTCAGTTTTCTCATGTGTGTCTCATATTGTCAGTCCACTGGGGAGAGGATTTTCTGTTCCATTCTTCCAAAGAGGAAACCAGGACAAAGGAATGATGGCGATGAGCCCTGGTGAAGGGCTGCTGGGAGTTCACACCTGACCTGGCTAACCTTAAGGTTTACGTTCAGTACTCCAGGGGTGGCTGCCTTAAGCATCATAAGCTTTAAGCACAGGGCCTTGGGAAGTATGAGGAGGGAGTCTGGAGATGAGGGAGCCTGAGCAAACAGGCAAACTAACCTCTCCAGTCAAAGAAAACAACCCAAGTAATTCTTTTAACTGACCTCACCAGCGATGTATGGTCCTCGGGAAAAATAAAACACACACTGGGAATAAGAAAGAAATGTACAATCACATCCTCCTCCCAATAGGATATTTTTATACTTTATAACTTTTTCTAGGCAAATGTAGATTTTTCTACCCTATGAAGAACATGATATCATTTATGCTCTTCTGTCAAAATTTATATAATATTTGTTTTTAAAATAAGGATAATTCATGGTGCTTGCCTAGGTCTAATCTTCTGTGAATTTATGGCAATCCATATATTTCCAAGTGGGGGAGAGGGAAAATCTTTCACTTGTTTTCTGTTTGTTGACTACTGTTGTCTGTTTCTCTGCCACTGGTGTATTCAGGGAAGGTGAGAGGGCTTGAGCTAAATGCTGTGTGTTAGCGCATGATGTGGCCTCTAAAGACATGAAAAGAATGAGTTGTTTTCTTCCTCATAGAAGAAAACGAAACGCAGGTTTTTTAGCAACCAATAGAAAAGATCTGAAAAAGTTACCTAAATGCCAAAGGGAAATGCAGCTAGACTCCAGGGGGCCTCAGGCAGAAGCCCCACATCAGGGAGTGGCCTTCTCCTAAGCACCCCCAGATGGGCGGGTAGAAAGAGCCTCCTTTGCTCCCCTCCGTGTTAATGAGGTTCCCAGTGAGACACCATTAATCACATCAATTTACAGCCTGCCAGGCACAGGCCATATCCAGGGGAAGGTGGGAAAGATAAGCAGCCAGTCCCGTTAGACCTTTCAAATACATATATTTTACCTTCTCCCCACCTAAGTTTCTGCATTTGTATGGTTTTTTAAAGTGTAGGCATAATTTACATACAGTGAAAGGCCCAATTTGGGTTTGGACACATGTATCTACCCAAATGCACCAAACTACCAACACAGTACAGTCCCTTCAACCAGGAGGGGTCCTTACTTTACCCTTCCCAGTGGTCTCAGGCCTCTTCTCAGAAGCAGCCACCACACTGCGGTCTGATGATTCATTTTGCAAGTTTTAAAAACTCATCTCAGTGGATTCATGTTGCATGTTTAAAGATGAACCCGAACAATGAACAAGCACAGACAGTTTCTAGCAGGAAGGTGGAACAGCAGGGGCACTTTGGAAAACAGTCCGGCAGTGCCTGAAAAAGTTATAGTACACAAAATTCCATGCCACTAAGCCTAGGTATGTGCACGTCTAGAGCAAGTGGATCATGAGAAACCACTTTGAAGATATCAATATGTAACACAACAAGCACTGTTAATTTCCTACCACTTTGTAACTCCATATTGTCTGTACTGTTCTTTTGCTATTTTGTAAAATGTTGTCTGTCTGTTAATGTTTTCCTCCTTTTACTTTTAAAATGAAAAAAAAATAGAGCAAATGGAAAGATACATCTGTGCAGAAACGCACACACAAGCCATCAGATCAGCATATTCTAGAAAACAGGAGCAACCCAGTGACCATCAACTGGTGAATAAACACATAAAACAGGACAGATTCATGCAACAGTGTATTTATTAACCCAACAAAAGAATGCAGCACTTACACATTTATGACAAGGAGAAACCTTGAAAATGTTCGGCCAAGTGGAAGGAGCCAGTCGCAAAGGCAACATATCGCGTCTCCACTTACATGAAATGTCTACAGCGGGTAACTCCATGGCAACAGAAAGCAGAGTAAGGGCTGCACAGGGCTGGGGAAAGCAGGAGGTCCAGAGGTGATGGTTCAAGGGTACAGACTTTCTTTCTCAGGTAACGATACCCTTTTAAGATTAGTAAATTATCTGAGTTTTAAAAGTCACATTTCACTACTATGGGAAAATGTATTATATATTTAACTGATTTGTAAATTAAAATAAATACCTCTACATTATTAATATGTTGTTAAATGTATTTATGTTAAAATAACTTGTTAAATGATTCTGGCAAAAAAATACTGTTAGTAAATTGTATGGTATATGAATTATTATCTCAACGACGCTGCCTTACAAGTATCTTCAGTCAAGTAGGAGACCACTGTGGTATCTGTAGACAGATCTGTGCTCCTGTGGTGGGGCTGTAATGAAAGAAGGGCTTGGCATACGGCCCTGCAAACCCTGTGTCCCCAGGGAACAGAGCTGGTGACCAGGAAGGTCTCCTTCCCATGAGAAGGCCATGGAGTTTGCTGCTTTTCCCAAGGGTCCCCGCCCTGTCTCCAGATTTTCACCCTTGGAATCCAGAAATTCCTCATCAGATTCAGCCACTCGCTCCACAAGCATCCATAGAAAGCTCATGCAGTAGGGAGCTCACAATCACAGCTGCTCTGTCCTGCCACATCCTGGAGCTTTGCTGGCTATGTTTCTAAGGACGCTGCCTCCATGGACTCAGCCCTGTGCTGGTAGGCTGACCCAGGACACTGGAGAAATGAGAAGAGCCCACAGTGAGATACAGGCCAGGAATGTTGAGGGTCAACAGACCCAGCCCACAACCTCAGTCTACCCTACATTAACACAGAACTTCACCCTCCCCACCTGGCCTTCCCACCTGCAAAGACTGACATCCTACCCTGTGACCCAGGGATCAAGAGCCCCAACACTGGGAACCAAAGCCCGGTTCCACCACTTCCATCCAGCCAGTTTCCTGTGCTCCCTGACCCTAACTGTCCCATGTGTAAATGGGGTACGTGGCAATAACAGCCTGTGCTATAAAGGCTTAGATGAGCTTATACAAGCAAACTTTTTCATAAAGGAGTACAGAGTAGGTATCTTGGTCACCATAGGCCATATGGCTGGGTCATAGGGGCCCACCTCTGCTATCAGAGCATAAAAGAAGCACAGATAGCAGGTTAAAGAAAGGGTTGCTGTGTTCTAAATACAATTTATTTATGGACACTGAAATTCCCAATTCCATTCCATGTAATTTTTAGGAATCACAGAATACTATCCTTCTTTTCATGTTTTTCTCACTGTGCTTAGCTCCTGGACTGCAAATCAGGCGGTGGCCCTACCTGGCCATGAGCTGTAGTTTGCAGCCCCTGTATCCAGTGCTTAACAACTGTGCTTGGCACCCCGTCAGTGCTCCTGCCCTCTAACTGCACCCGGGCAACAACTGCTGCACATTCCCTCGTGGAGCTGTGCACCATCGCCTTCCTGTACCACATCTCATATAAACCGCACCGAAACCATGCAAGCCAGGTAACAGGATGACCCAAAGTTCTCAGCTGGGAAAAGAGACCCAGTGCTGGGCCACATGGCTCTGGGTCTTTCTAATCAGAGTCCCTGCTTCTAACCTTTACAAAGTACCGTGCTGGCCACCAGGACACAACAGGACATTGAGTCACTCAGCCTCAGCCTCAAAACCCAGTAAACTAAGAGGGCACTGCACAATGAACAGATAGGAAAAGCCCCCAGAAAGGGCCATGTGGGCTGGAGCCATGTATCTGCTGCTACACCAGATGCCCAGGAAATGGCCAGTTCATCTGGGTCCTGCTGCAGAAGGCTGGCTCCAGGGTGTGGTCGTCTCCTATCCTGTGGCAGACCAGACCGTGGACCTGACTTCCTGAAGGAGAACTTGGCAAATGCAAGAGCCAAACAACCCTTTACTCAGCCATTCTGTTTTATGGGAACAGGAAATACATTCACAAAGACATAACTGTAAGAATATTCAGTGTGGGCTGGGGATACAGCTCAGTGATAAGAGCACTGACTAGCACACTAAGGCTCTGGGTTCAATCCCCAGCACTGGCAAAAAAAAGAAATTACTGAAGCACTAATGATAAGAGTGCCGAAGTGGAATTCATTCTAGTTGTCTTTCTTGGACACTTGGAAAAAAATCAAAGGGCTTTGCCTCTCATGCCTGAATAATGGTGAAAGTAGGGCCCACATGATCAAATGGTGATGTGGTGACATAGAAGAAAAACACATTGATATGGAAAGCTAGTTAATAAAAGAGCTATTTACAAACTGATACGTATACTACTGTATTATTATACAGATAAATAGGTAATATGTACACACATCCACTGAACATATCAGTTCATTTAATTAGTTACCTCTGAATCATAACAAATGTTTTGGCTTTTTCTAGAAGTCCTTATTGTCTTGTAATAAGAAAAGAAGTAAAGCTGGTAATCAGACAGGAGTCCAATACACCTGAAGTAGTCTGACTGATAATTACTACCATTATTTATTAATTATCCCATGGGTCCTTCAGAAGAATCCATCACAAGCCAGGATCCAGGTTACCCACTGGGGAATTAAAGTACCTGAGATGAAGAGAGCTCTTTCTTTTCATGCGAGGCAGGCCAGGTAAATCTGAATACATTGGATCACTAGGATTAGATGATCTAGGATATTTGCAAGTGGGACAACGAACTCACAAGAAAGGGGCAGTCTCTGCCCAGAGTCGGGATGCATCTCAGATTATGCTCAGCAAAGAGCGATTGGACAGGACTCCTGCTGCGCAGGGAAAGGCCGGGGTCTAGACCTACAGTTAGGTAAGTAACTCTCCTTACCCACTCAGTAACTCTCCTTA